ATCCGAAATAATCTAAGTCTATAATGACATCCATTTCACCAATGAAACAGCAATCGAATAAGTGTAATTCCATTGGTACCAATCGTACCATTGGTACCAATGGACGAATAGAATGGACCCCTATTCAGCCAGAGACAATTGGAAATATTCTACGTCTTTATAATGAGATGCATTCCACCAATGGAACACCAATCGAATAAGTGCAATTCCATTGGTACCAATCGTACCATTGGTACCAATGGACGAGTAGAATGCACCCCTACTCAGCCTGGTCGGAAATATTCTAAGACTTTATAATAAGATGCATTTCACCAATGGAACACCAATCGAATAAGTGCAATTCCATTGGTACCAATCGTACCATCGGTACCAATGGACGAGTAGAATGGATCCCTACTCGGGCCGCCGGAGCTCCGCTATTAATTTAAGTTCATTCACCAGTATTGCATTGCGTATCCCTACTGCACATAATTGAACGCGTGCTTAGCGCGCGCGCATTAAAAAATGGCGGCTTTTTCTTGACGGCTGGACCTCGCCATAGAGGTAAATCGTCATTTTCGCGCAAACGAGTATGGTGACCTATCATTTTTTTCTGTTGTTTTGAATTGAGTAATAAATTCCTCTGTGTAAAATAATGTGGACCAGTTCTCAGTGTAGAACAAAGAACAATCGTCGGAAAAGTGAATTTGGCAAGCAATCGTGACTACAATCATGATGCTATTATAAGGACTTATTGGGTATAAATAAGGTGCCGTTGCTCCTAAACGAACATGGGGACCCCTCATTTTTATTTCAAAATTTAAGTTCCTGTAATATAAACAATCAATAGGCAAAGTTTCACAAAAATCTCAGAGCAGACTCTATTTCAGTGGAATGACCTTAACAAGTTAATGAGTAAAGCAGAAACGTCTTTGAAAAGTTGGCGGGATCGGGATTTCCAGGCAAAAAAGGGCGGGATGGCGGGATAAACAGGAAAAAATTGGCGGGAAAGTGGGATCTGAAAACCCTACTGTGGACCCTCAAAACCTTTTCTCACGAAAAAAGAGAGCACAAAATAAGATATGAGCAAGATCAGATGCAAGAAAAAGCCGACCGCGTTAATATCCAGTCAGCACTGAGCCTGATTCCGTTTGATTGGTTGTGGTAATTAGTGACAGAGCTGGGATTTGTTTATCTGAAAGTCAAAATTTTTTATATCCCTGACCTAAGATATTTGAAAATCAAGGAGATCAGGACATGAGGTATAACTATGAGGGTTTGTTTAGTTCCTTACGGTTTGCCACATGCAAGGCCATCACGATTCATTCGATTCATTGTGGTGACGTAACCGAGACGAACAGCCAATTTTCGCTCGGACCACGTGACCCGAAACCGATTGACTGCGGGAAAATATCAAGGTCTAGAAACTAGGCAATATCCGCATAATAGTTTCAGTTGAGGCTAATAACTAGCGATAACTCTTTGGCAACTTTTCATATCTCGAGCAATTTTTTCGAGCAATTTTTTTTCACACTCGGGTTATAGATTCAGGTCAGATCCAGGAGGCAACGGGAACCTCGCTAAACAAAAAGTTTTAGGTCTCGTCCAGATTACGCCGCAGGAATTTGAAAATGGAGCTTTATTTCTCCTGTTAGGCCTTCCGTCCACCGTAATCCGTCATGAAAACGGAGCTTTTCAAAAATGCTCTTCAAACCGGAGGAGCTTTGCGTTTTAGTGTAGACTGAAAACTTTTTGAAAACAAAGCTTTTCGGAAACATTGAGGTTACGATAATCACGTGATTTCCCTGCCCGGGTTTTACTCAAACACAAATCTAAAATGACCGGTGATTGTTGCGTTTTCAAATTTCTCCGGCGTTTTGAAAACGAAAAGCACATAGCGTATTTTACTGGGCACACGACTGGAGATTTTGTTGAATGAAGGTGAACTTTCGAAACGTTGTATGTAATAAGGTATGTTTAAGCCATGCACGTGGCGAATTAAGTGGCAGAAGGTGAGTGATTATTTTTGTTGAATAACAAAAAAAAGGTTAATTGAGTATTTTTGTCTCATAAAGTAAATTTGGTAATTGAAGTTGAACAAATATTGTTGTTGAGTGAAAATGGTGCTAGTCCGGTCCCACAAAAACGCAGACCATGCGAAGACCATGCAGACTGCTGACTGCTGACCATGCAGATTGTGCAGACCGTGCAGACCGTGCAGACCGTGCAGACCGTGCAGACCGTGCAGACCGTGCAGACCGTGCAGACTGAGTACTTTTTTTCACTAGGGGCTTACTAGTGGTCCACTAGGAGCGCTTTCCATTCGACCAAAAATTCCTGTGTGAATTTCCCGAGTTAGCTACACTGAAAAAATTTATATATCGTCGTCCACGCCTAATGCATCCTTTTTAAAGCTTTAGAATCGATAGTCGAGCAACTCCAAAGCACGTAAAAGAGGCCGAGTCTACCATCTGTTTCCCCTTCGTTTTGTATTTTCGCGCGAAACTTGGAACGTGATGGCCTGGGACGGGTTAGTCCAGCCAACCGGAACAAATACGGTTCCACTCCTCGTGATCAGTAGAATATCCGGAAGATAGCGCTCATAGTGTAGGAAGAAAAGTACGAGGATGTGACAAACATGTATCCAGCTAAAGTGTTACTGCTGATGTTCGACTGTCATATACTGTGTTGTACGTGTGGCTGGAATGTATGTCTTGCCGAACACCAAGAGGAGTTTAAACCATCTTGCTTGCATGTAGAAGTAAGTTAAGTTACGTTTAATTTACTTAAATAAGTTACGTGTCCAAGTTATGGTTATTTGAATAATCATAACTTACAGGTTCTTCGTAAAAGTCCAGGACAAGTCAAATCATGAATCTTGTGTTCTGGTGAGCTTTAAGACGGTCCAAGCGTCGATCGGGAGACTGCTTGACTGATGAAACGCGCCATTTTGAAATCAAGTTAATGATTCGATTAGCGCCCTTCCAAGCATTCCCAAACAATGAATCGATCAAATGAAGACATCAACGTCAACCCTCGTGGAGTCGGGGGTGGGAATTTTAGTCGGTGGCTGTTGCAGTGGAACCCCGACATTCCGATATGGCAAGGGGACAGCAAAACAGCAAAAGCGGGGGCAGCCCGGAAATTAAAACCTGGAAACCGGAATCCGGAATTCGGAATCCGCAAACCCGAATTATTGAAATTGAATATGACGACTGAGATAATTCACTTCAGTAGTGTCCAATAAATAAGTATGGGGAAAAAGTATTTTTTGTTTTTGTTTTCAACTTCAACCACAAACTGTAATAAAAAACAAAACAAAAACAAAAACAAAAACAAAACCAAACAAAAAAAAAAAACATGACTAATTTTATACAACCTCTAGCTATGCATATGGCCCAGTTGTTCAAAAGATGGATCCACTATCGTAGGGCACTATTCAAGCAGGGCTAGTGAGTTTTCGAGTGGATAGAGTTATTCATCCTTTGTCTAGATCGCATTGCTTTGAGAAGACTGGTGAGCAGCACCATAGCAAAAAGCCTGTTCTTACAGCATTGACATCACAGCAACGTTTGCTAGCAATGAGTTTCTGGCAATCGTTAAGCATCGTTTAAAAACATGTGGTTCGATCCGTTCTCAAATGAGGAGAGGACAGAAGTAAGTGCGCAACCGTTTCTAGAAAATATTTGAATACGATGGCGGATAAGAATATCTGGTGGTGATTTGTGACAGTAAAAGGTAAGGTAAAGTCTATACGCGAGCCAGGCCGGAGCTTATCCCGGTTTCTGTAATGTGAAGCGACTAGGAGTACATATACTTCTACTCCTCCCCAGATGGGCATATTGCGGACCTTTCCTTTTTATTAAAACAAAAACTCAGCCGTACCGCTCGATTTATCTCGCCGAATTTATTTAAATATGCGAATCATGTAAATATGGGACCCGAAATGTTACTGATATCACCTGGCATGGCTAACATTAGCAAGTTTAGTGTCCCATATTTTCATATATTTGAAACAAATTCTTGTAAAACATCGCATATTTACCAATAGTTCGGAATGATAAAGTGACCATTGGAGGTGGCTTTTGTCATATGAAGAACGCGAACAACTGTTGATGTTGAAATGGCCCTTGCCATTCTCGTCCCCAGAGCTACTCGTCTTAAAATGTCTTTGCATTTCGCCGACAACGTGACCAAAAGAAACGGGGGCTCTGGGTACGAGAATGGGCCCTTGGTTGCTACGCTGGTTTGTGCGCATACGTTCCACACATCACGCTGGGCATTGATTACATGTCACTCGCTAGGGTTGGAAACGATGAAATCGACAATCGACAATCGACAAGTAGGCAAAATGTTCCCACTGTGATCAAATCAAGCTAACTGAACCTGTAATAAAACCAGGAGCATATTGCCAACCATTAACTGCTAACAGCTACAGCTAAGATACTAACTGCTATTTGAAAAAAATTGTATTGAAATGTAACGGCAAATCCGGTTGTACCTGCGAATGGCATAGTGCGCGGGAAATATTTGACTCTTTTACAAATCAAAGAAAACCCGGAAGAGAAACGATGTTTCGTTCATTACGCCAGTTGCGTGATCATGGTGTGACAACAAGATCGTTTACCACAACAACAGGCCAAAGTCCTTAGGCAAAATAGTATCGCATTGTTTTCTTCAGTGACACTTCAGATGATGCTTGCATAGATATTGTATTTCGTCAGTATATAGTCTAACTTCCTTGTCGCGGGATGATGAAAATGTTCTTCCAGCTAAACGGAGCTGGCAAATAACCAGGTTTACCACCTTTCCCTTCATTCCTTAATCCTAAGAGAAAGGACATCTTCTTGGCGCAAACTCGGCACTTGTAACTGCTAAACTGTGATTTTCAGTGGTGAGATAATTTGGCTGACAGAGTGAATCTGTGCTCTTCTCGGCCTCTGGGACAGCCTGACGGTTGCTGCGGTGAATATTTTCAAAGGTTAGTGCATTTTTTCACATCTAATGCTTGTTCTACGGATTGACGTCACTGACTTAGCCACGGCACGTCTTTGTCTCAGTTGTGAACAGTGTTTGTCTAGTAATTCCATCGTTTAGCGAGCAAATGCGCAGCCACAGTGCGGGCAGACATCTGATAGTTTACTCATTTGTGTTATATGTGTTAAAAAATGTCAATTTATCCGTTGAAAACGACAGAACACCACATGTTAAAGGTCCTAATTGAGAAGGGTTTTCATGATCACATTCTATGTTGTGGTTAAAACACAAATGAGTGCTGGATAAGATTTTTCCCTAGCTGTAAAAATCAACAGACGGTGAATAATTCTGAACTGAATCACATTTTACGCCATCTAAGCTTGACTGACGCCTTGAAATTAATATTGCGTGTCCGACTCTTAGCAAAAGGATGCCCTCGAACAAGCGAATGCTGTAGAGAAACATGGGAAATCGAAGAATTTTGAGACTGATTTGTTGATGAATAAGTCAGAAGTTACAGAAAGGCCTGTTTAACTGTTTTACTGGAGTCCATTAATCTGACCTTTCAGCTGTTGGTTGCATTTAAAAAGCATTGGCGGTCACGATTAAACGGATATTTGATGTTCTGATGTAGCGTTTCGACGAAAAATAAAACCATGACATGCAATTCTATGTCTTTACCAGAAGCTGGAATATCGTCTCGGTAAATCGTATCAAGTTAATCCGAGATTGTTTATAAATCTAAAAATCTGTTCCATATGAGCCCGGTCAACCGGGCTTGCTCGGTTTCCGAGATCTCGCCTCGCCATTCTTTCCTTCGTAAAAATTGCGATGTGTTCATATGAGAAGCCGGACTGGCC